CCCGCGGGGAGCGGGGGGAGGCGGCGGGTCCTGCCCGGCCCCGCGGTGACGCTCCCGGGGCGGGCGCAGGGCGGCGGTGCCGGGACCCGGTGTCCCCGGTGTCCCCGGTGTCCCCGCAATGCCGCCCCCCCGGGGCCGCGGGCCCGAGCGCCCCCCGGCGCCGCCGCCCCTCGACCCGCTGCAACGGTGAGTGCCGGGGGGCAGGGGGGGCGGCCGGGGTCCCCCGGGCTGTGTCCCTATGGGGGGACCCCCCGGTGGCTGCGCCCATGGGGACAGCCCTGGAGCTGCCCCTCAGTGCCCGTGGGGACATCCCCAGTGGCCGCGGGGCGCGTGACCCGGTGGCCGTGGGGTCACCCTGGGGTGTCCCCTGGGTGGCCGTGCCCAAGGGGACACCGCTGCGTGGCCATGGGGCGCGTGTCCCGGTAGCCGTGGGGCACAGCCTTGGTGGCCACCCCTGGGTGCCCATGGCGGGTGGCCCCGGCTGGTTGTGGGGCTGCCCTTGGCGGCCACGGGGTCATCCTGGTAGGATGTTCCTTGGTGGCCACGGGGTGACGGCAGTGGCCGTGGGGTGACTCTGGTGGCCATAGGGTGGTCCTGGTAGCCAAGGGGTGATTCCGGTGGCCATGGGGTGTTGCTGGTGGCCATGGGGTGACCCTGATGGCTAAGGGGTGATTCTGGTGCTGTAGGGTGACCTTGGTGGCCAGGGGGTGATTCCAGTGGCCGTGGGGTGATCCCAGTGGTCATGGGGTGACCCTGATGGCCATGGGGTGACCTGGTTGCCATGGGGTTTCCCTGCTTGCCACGGGGTGTCCCTGGTGGCCGTGGGGTGACATTGGTGGCCGTAGGGTGACCCTGGTGGCCATGGGGTGTCCCTGGTGGCCGTGGGGTGACATTAGTGGCTGTGGGGTGACCTTGGTGACCATGGGGTGTCCCTGGTGGCCGTGGGGTGACATTAGTGGCCGTGGGGTGACATTAGTGGCCGTGGGGTGACCCATCGTCCTCTCCACGAGCCGCAGGGTGCTCCGTGCCCGCGCAGGACACGGTGTCCCCGTGCCCCGGGGCGCGCTCCGGCCGCGCTATTTCCGTAGGCGCCGTCAGGGGCCGGGAACGCCGCCGTCCCGCCGGCGCTAAGCCGGGCGGCGGGCGCCGGGCCCGGGGCCTCCTTGTATGGCCGAGCGCCGCGGGCGCCCAAAAATAGCGCGGCCGCCGCCGCATCCGCCGCCGCGGGGCCGGGAGCGGCAGCGTCCCAGCACCCAGCATCCCAGTGCCCCAGCTCCTACTGTCCCAGCATCCCAGTGCCCCACTTCCCAATAGCCCAGCTCCCCAGTGTCCCAGGATCCCAGCGTTCCAACTCTCAGTGCCCCAGTTCCCAGTGTCCCAGTACCTCAGCTCCCAGCATCCCGGTGTTTCACCATCCCAGCACCCCAGCTCCCAGTATCCCAGTGTGCCAGAATTCCAGCTCCCAGTATCCCCATGTCCCAGTATCCCAGCTCCCATTATCCCTGTGTCCCAGCTCTCCCAGTGCTCCCAGCAAGCTCTGGGTCTGCCCTGGTCGCTCCCTGCTCCCCACACAATCCTGGATACATTCCCAGCCGGGGGGGCAGCGCTGCAGGAAGGATGTCGGTATAGACACACATACACACACATATGCACACAAATATATATATATAATATATATATATAGGGGTAGGAGAGAGCCGGCGCCCGCCCTGTGTCCCGCATCCCAGCGCTGCCGGCTCAGAGGCACCATCTGCTGGGAGAAGCTCCCGGAGCTTCGGTCCGCTCCATGACCACAGCGCTTCCCGCTGGGGAATGTCCTGCAGGACAGGGCTGCACGTCCTGGAAAAGCCCCTGTGGAGACGTAGGGGATGTCTGTAGCACAGGGCAAACCCCTTCCCATGCTCCTGGATGCGGATTTTTCCCATTAGCCAATGTGGAGTGACTCCAGAGCCCATTTGCTGCAGCGGGAACGGGCAGGAATTGCCCCGTTTGAACAGCAGGCTTGTGTGCTCCCCGGCTCCCACAGCGGAATTATCTGCTATTTCCAGTGGCTTCTGCACTTCTGTCCTGGAAATGCCTCTCTGAGGCAACTTGCATGAAGCTTGACCTGGAATAGCACGAATGGAATGTCCTGGAATCGCGTGGAGTGGTCGGGACAGTCCGGGATTGCCTTTGGAAAGAGGGGGGCTCCGTGTGACGGTGCCACACGCGCATCCCTGGCCATGCCCAGGGCTGCCTTTCCATCGCAAGGACAGGGACTGAAATCACTTCCCAGAAGGAAAACAAACATCCCTGCCATTCCCTGTCATCCCTAACCTCACCCAAGGCTGAGGCTTCCGAGGCCTGCGGGCAGTGCCGGCTCCTCCAGGTAATTCCCAGAGCTGCTCCCTCCTGGAAACTGGCTGGATCCGGAGCCCTGCCCAGCTTCCCAGCAGAATTCCCTGATAAAACGAGGGGGGATCCAGCTCTGGCTGAAAGCAGCTGCCTTCGACCCCAGGTTTCCCATACACCGAGTGCTCCGCGCGGGAGACCCGCGGGATGAGGAGCCGGGGACGGCCGCACGCGGCCTTGGGACAGGCGGTCCTGGAGCTCTTGGTGCATCCCGGGCTCCGTATTCGCACTTCCATGGCGCCTTCCAAGACAGCTCTGCTGCAGTCGATGAATCGATTGCAAATTTAGCAGGAACGAATTGCAGCAGTGGATGAACTGGTTGCAAACTCGGCCGCCAGACGTACCGAGGAGCAGGGGCAGTTGCAGAGCGAGGCAGGCGCATGCAGCCGCACGAGGATACGGATACGGCCCGGACACGCTCCCAAACACTCCTTTTGGCTGCTCCTTCCCCTCCTCATTGCAGCCTCAGCCCCCCTCGCTGTTCCTCAGGAAAAGGAGGTGGGAAAACTCCTGGTGTCTCCCGCGGGAGCTTCCCCCCCGCAGCCCTGACCTCGTGTTGTCACGAAGGCAGAAGGGATTTCCTGTCAGCTTGGAGCCTTCCTAGGACCTCAAACACTGTGGCTCAAACAATTCCTCATTTTCGGCTGTAAATGTCCAGCTGCGCTGGCAGGGCACGTTGTCCGTGCATCAGACCGGCTCGCAAAGGGCAATCCAGGCCTGGGTGCCTGGGAAATGAGGTAGCGCAAGTCGGGAGCACGCCGATTCCCAAGCTTGGGAAACGCTTCTTCCAGCTCTCCCGAACGAGCTCCTCGTGTTTCCTTGCTGGGAAGAGCGAGTGCGTGTGGCCTGTGCGAGCCCCGGGCTGCAGGGCTCGGCAGCGCAGGGCACATCCCCAAAGCCAGGACTAGCGGGAAGCCTGCGCGTCCCGGGCTGCAGCGTGCTCTGCCACAGGCGGGTTAGGGGGAGCACGAGGCCCGCGGGCTGCTCCCGGGTGCATCCAGCTGCAGGGGGCATTCCAGAGCCCGGGAATCACTGGGGAGCGGAGGCGGAGCGCCTGGCGGGGAGGACAAGGAGGGACACGCAGCGACTTCGGAGCTCGCTGCCATCCGCCCGCTGTCTCCTGTGGTGTTTGTGGGCTCCGCTGTCCCCAGAGCGGGCTCCGGGCCGGCCATCCAGCCCGGTCCTTACCGGGACACCCCGTCGCTCCCGCC